TTCATGCTAGAATTGTATTAACCGGAAACATAATACATGCGTGAATACATAGACAAACAGAGTGTCACTAGTATGCCTCTACTTGACTAGCTCGTTAATCAAAGATGGTTATGTTTTCTAACCATGGACAAAGAGTTGTTATTTGATTAACGGGATCACATCATTAGGTGAATGATCTGATTGACATGACCCATTCCATTAGCTTAGCACCCGATCGTTTAGTATGTTGCTATTGCTTTCTTCTGGACTTATACATGTTCCTATGACTATGAGATTATGCAACTTCCGTTTACCGGAAGAACACTTTATGTGCTACCAAACATCACAACGTAACTGGGTGATTATAAAGGAGCTCTACAGGTGTCTCCAAAGGTACATGTTGGGTTGGCGTATTTCGAGATTAGGATTTGTCACTCCGATTGTCGGAGAGGTATCTCTGGGCCCTCTCGGTAATGCACATCACATAAGCCTTGCAAGCATTGCAACTAATGAGTTAGTTGCGAGATGATGTATTACGGAACGAGTAAAGAGACTTGCCGATAACGAGATTGAACTAGGTATTGAGATACCGACGATCGAATCTCGGGCAAGTAACATACCGATGACAAAGGGAACAACGTATGTTGTTATGCGGTCTGACCGATAAAGATCTTCGTAGAATATGTAGGAACCAATATGGGCATCTAGGTCACGCTATTGGTTATTGACCGGAGACGTGTCTCGGTCATGTCTACATTGTTCTCGAACCCGTAGGGTCCGCACGCTTAAGGTTACGATGACAGTTATATTATGAGTTTATGCATTTTGATGTACCGAAGGTTGTTCGGAGTCCCGGATGTGATCACGGACATGACGAGGAGTCTCGAAATGGTCGAGACATAAAGATTGATATATTGGAAGCCTATGTTTGGATATCGGAAGTGTTCCGGGTGAAATCGGGATTTTACCGGAGTACCGGGAGGTTACCGGAACCCCCCGGGAGGTATATGGGCCTTAGTGGGCCTTAGTGGAAGAAGAGAAGAGGCAGCCAGGGCTGGGCCGCGCGCCCCTCACCCCTAGTCCGAATAGGACAAGGAGAGAGGGGGCCGGCGCCCCCCTCCTTCTCTCTCTCTCTTTTCCCACCCCACGAATCCTATTCCAACTAGGAAAGGGGGGGAGTCCTACTCCCAGAGGGAGTAGGACTCCTCCTGGCGCGCCACACCTTGGCCGGCCGGCCCCCCTCCCTTGAACCTTTATATACGGAGGCAGGGGCACCCCTAGAGACACAAGTTGATCCACGTGATCATGCTCTTAGCCGTGTGCGGTGCCCCCTTTCACCATAGTCCTCGATAATATTGTAGCGGTGCTTAGGCGAAGCCCTGCGACGGTAGTACATCAAGATCGTCACCACGCCGTCGTGCTGAAGGAACTCTTCCCCGACACTTTGCTGGATCGGAGTCCGGGGATCGTCATCGAGCTGAACGTGTGCTAGAACTCGGAGATGCCGTAGTTTCGGTGCTTGATCGGTCGGGCCGTGGAGACGTACGACTACATCAACCAAACGCTTCCGTTGTCGATCTACAAGGGTACGTAGATCATACTCTCCCCTCTCGTTGCTGTGCATCACCATGATCTTGCGTGAGCGTAGGAATTTTTTTGAAATTACTACGAAACCCAACAGTTACATCATGTGTCTAGCCACACTATATATGAGAGGCCTAGGATACAAGTGTCCTATTAGGACACAACTCCTACCCTATCTATACACAGTTCAAAACCAAATCCAACTGTAACCTAACTTTTACAATAATATTCGACACAACTTTAACAAACTCCACCTTGCCGAATATTCTCCACCATCTTGGGTTCATCCATGCGTTGAATCTCCATGTACAATGGACTTGAGATATGCCATGAGCACCGCTACTATTCCCAGACTCCATGTGACTCCACCTGCAACTTTGTGCTTCCTCATTACTCTATTTTGTGCTTCCAACCTCTGGAGAATCCGTTCAATGACATCACACACCGACCGCTGTCTGCGTGAAAGTGAACAACTCACATATTAGACGCCATATCTAAGAGTTACCTAAACTCAACATTATCGCTCTTTCTTGACTACTTGTCTGAAACTTGAAAGAATTTCACGGTCGCCCTGTGTCATTCTGAGTCAAATTCGCAGTTGTTTCATCTTTTTTTCCCGGTTACTCTTTGACATATCCCACAGCTACAGCACTCTGCCTTCTTCTATATTTGTCATCTGCACTTTGCCATGTGCACCGAACACCATAGAATATACGGCGATGTACTCTCTTAGCTTTTGACAATTTTAGACTCTCCGCCACTTCCTCAGATTCTCCATAGTCAACTCCTGTCCATCTTCCGGCATCGATAGACCCAGTCACCCTTGAATCTGGTACTCGTCAACACTGCTTCAGCACCCCTACATAATTTGTCTGACCACATGTCTGAACATCAGTGCCTTGGCCTGTTGCTGTGTCCCGTGCTTACCGCACGCCTCGCCGCTATCACCGCGCCGAGCCTCTGTTGTCTTGGTCGAGTCTCCCGGCTAGCTAGCCACACTGCCTCAACCACCACTGCAGAGAACCACCGATCATCATCGACCGATGCCGAGTATCACGTCTCCATCCGACCACTGGTATCCAGTCCGACCAATGCATAGCCAGCAACTTTCATGTCCAATACGCTGTGCAAATCCTCGAAACCGACCCTTTTTTTCCAACAAATCACGTGTCTACTTCAAGCTTGGTCTACTTGCTTTTGCAGCTCTTGGCTGAGCCTCCGTATGCATGCATATCGCTGCTCCATCCTCTCCCTACGCCTGCGCGCACCACCAGCGGGCCTTCGTAAATCCCAGCTGGACCACGAGCTGTCCCGAGCTAGGCCTCCGCTTCGAAAAGCCTGCCGCATGTGGGCCGCCCAGCTCTTGGGCCGCTAGCAGGTGCACCGCCTCACGCCCTCTCGACTGGTACGACCCCAGCGCCTGGGAAGCCGCCTTGTACGCGCCGCTGCGGAGGAGTCCTAGTGCTACACGCTGAACACGCCGCCACACAGATCAGATCTGACTCCTGCACGTCCATCGATTCGGCCTCGAAGAGGTTTGCCAAAAAACACGTCACATGTATCAGCTGCCTCACGATCGATAATCCAACTCCAAGTCGCTCCAGCTGCTGGCCATCGAACCGAGCTTCGAACTTGACGACAACTGCGACTTATTTGTAATCGATCCGTGAATCCGCTTCATCTCTAGAATGCTTTATACACGACGATCTCCGATCGCTGCCGCACGTACGTCGTGCCCCACAGCCACCGGTCTTCATTGTTCTCCTCTAAATCAACTTCCGCGGCCTCTTAGAAACCTTACTCATGATACCACTTGTTAGAATAAATACGAGACCACCATTGATCTACCGAGGTCCAAGCAATCATACAAGCACGACATCGAGATTTGTTAACGAGGTTCATCATCATGGCTACATCTCCGGGGCCTGACGAAGGGCGCTCCTCCCCATGACACCGTTACAATACCGCACCCCGGCCGCCCGGGCGCTGGCACACGCGCCGTCCCCCTGCGTGCCTGTGCTACTATGTTGGCATAGATGACATCGTGTGTCTACCCCCACTATATATGAAAGGCCTAAGATACAAGTTTCTTATTAAGACACAACTCCTACCCTATCTACACACAGTCCAAAACCAAATCCAACTGTAACCTAACTTGTACAATAATATTCGACACAATTCTAACAAGGGTCATGCGGGATTTTCTTCCAACCTGCTATTTGGTTTGTCCTAACATTGACAAGGGAAGGAGGACGAAGTATCATCGTCACCAATTTCTCCTTTAATAATAAAGATATTAGAATATTTTGTTATTATATGAACAATATAAGTTAATGTTTGAATTGCGAGCATTGAAATTTGGATGACTACTAGTAGGTCTCTTTAGACGCGTATGAACGCCTTGCCACGCCTGTAATACCATAGGCTAATTTTATAGTTGATCCACATCGATGAATAGTATTTCACAGGCTTCATATGGATAACGATGAAATAGTTCATCACATCGCCTTTTCATATACTTGCAGTGTTACCAATTTAATTCCCTTCCTATCTTACTTATCTGAACTAAATCAATTTTTAAAATTGGGCAATATGCTTTCTGATACAACTTTTATAAATTAGTAAATCAGAACAACTAAAAACTGAGCCAAAAAGATATCATCTCACTAAGAGAACAAAATATGAGTTGCCCAAGATGAAAAAAGATACTCTGTCCATCTCAAAATGTTAAGTGATATTTTGGCCAAGCGTACAGGAAAAAAATATCAGCATCTATAACACCAAACCAGTACGTACCAATAGATATGTAATAAAATATATTGACAAGTGTATATAGGTCCTATTTTAGAGGTTATATTTTTTCTACAAATCTGCCAAACTTTAAAAAGTTAGACTTGAAGACAATCCAAATATGAGTTACATTTTAGGATGCAAGAAGTAACCAATAGTGATGGAAACCAGATTAATGCAGCGCTTTGACTCGGTTTGGGCCCGTTTAGTTTTAAGCTAACTTTGCCATAGTTTACCACACAATATTTGCCAAGTTTTCCTAACCTTAAATGCACAATTATTAGTCACGCTTTGGCCTACCAAAGAGATCTATCACCACACTTTTTGTGTGGATGACTTACATGGCTTGGTTTTCATATAGAGAATATTGCCTAAGGTGTAGCTGTAACAAACACCGACCTAACTTGAACAGACTTGCCTAACATGAAGTGTGCCTACGAGGAAAGCAACTTGTTAACATGCAACTTCTAGTACTTCATCCCTTGTAGTTAACCTGCAACATGAAAGAAAATGTCATACCATTATCAGGGAATGGAAACGAAAAATAAGATGGAAAAAAATATAGGACAGGCAACACTTGAGCTTATTTTTTGGGGTTCAAAACAGTAGTAGGAAAGAACCGTTTAGCTAGAATAGTTACCTTTGGATTAGTCATGCTTTCCCTTGACATTGTAAGTGCACATATTTTTCTTGACACAGTTGATCAAAATGTCAGCAGAGTCAATACCTAGGTAAAACCCATCACATGTGAATATCTTAGGAGTTCATAGAAACTGAAAAGGAAAAACAAAACGCACTTAACAATGCAGAGCATGAGAAGAACTTCTGAATTTACCTGCAAGATACGCTCCATGGACATAGCCATTGTACTTTTCGCTCGTGTGCTCACCAGTGAAGTAAACCCTCCCAACGGGAGCCTGGGAAAAAGGAAAATACAAATAATCATGTTAATACAAGTGTAGGGCGAGTGAAATGCAGGGAAGATGTATATATAGTTGTACCCGAATGAGGTCGTATTCGTAACGGTTAACGCTAGGCCAGTTGGAGAAGGTGCCTTTGAAGAACCTGTTGGACCACCACCTCCGCACGAGGATCTCGGTGGCGTCCCGCACATCTTTCCCAGGGAACATCTTCCTCAGCACCTCCATCGCCTCCGCCATGGTCTGGTTGTCTGATTGTTGCTCGATCCTCCTCGACTCGTCGTCGCTAACTGTCACGAGCAACACGTCTGACCCTGGGTACTCCTTCTTGAACTGTTGCCATACCGGATAGTACCCTCGCCTATCACTAGCATAGAGGAAGAATTCCTTGCCAGGCGCCTCTGGCCAGAACCTCCTAGGGAACTTGAGGAAGATCTTGGTGTACACGGCCATGTTGAACTGATAGATGGACATTATCTTCCACCAAGGCAGCTCCGGGTAACCGGGTTGAACCGTACGAGGTCAGTCTGCAGAACACCGAGGCTAGCCGAAACTATGACATAGTCAGCCTAGTACACCTCCTTGTTGTCCTCAGTCTTCACCATGACGCTGTTTGGTAAGTAGGTGATCTCCCGCACCACCGTGTTTAGTTTGAGCCGCGGGTCGACGATGGCGCCGGATTTGCGGTCTGTCTTGAGGTACTGTTCAGCAGTGTGGTACACGACGGACTCCACGATGGTCGGCCACAAAGTAGACGTCGTTGCCGAAGTTTTTGAACGTCGCCAATGGCTGTCTCCAGCCGTTGGCTCCCCAGGGGGCGCCTAAAATCGCCGCCTGGGGGTGAGCCGGCGCAAAAATTGGGCCTGGGGGCGAGTTGGTCCCCAACCGCCGGTCCCAGGACCGCCCCCAGGCACGTTTTAAAATAAAAGAAGTTCGGCGAAATTCGGCTTAAACACGATAAAATTCGGCCAAACACGATAAATTTCAGCACATTTCGGCAAAGTTCGTGGATTTTCATTGCATAGCACATATACATAAACTAATCTAAAGGAAAAATGGGCTGAAGTCGCCGCCGTCGCCGCCATCGTAGTCGTCGGCCTTCTCCTCCTTGACGCGGGTGCCCCTGCTGGACCCTTGCCCGGCGTCGCCATGGCGGACTGGTGGCGGCGCATCGTCGTCGTCGTCGTCGCTGTCGCAGATGACGACGACTCCGCCTTCATCGCGGCCGCGTCGACGCTCCGCAAAGCGAAGCAGGGCGGCGCGCTGGCGCTCCTTCGCCTTGTCCAGGCGCTCCTTCTCTATCGCTATGGAGTCCCTGCGCGCCCATTCCAGGGCCGCGTCGTCGTCGTCGAGCTCCGTCGTCACCGGCGCAGCCGGCTCCTTCACCGGCGCGAGCCCCGGCTCCGTCTTTGGCTTGACGAAGCGCGGAGGAGGAGCCGACGAGTAGGCGCGCCGGCCGCCCTCGTTGATGACGATGCCGGCGCTGCGAGTGCGCCGGCCGAGCGGCGTCTCCGCCGCGGGCTCGGCCTTGACGCCGAGCAGGGCCGGAGTGCCGGAGGAGTGCGATCAAGATCGGGAGGAGGAAGAAGAGGAGGAGGACCCGAACCTCCTTGGCGCCCATAACTCTTTTGTATATGTAATTTGGCTCTTGGAGGCTGCGGTGGTTACCATTTGCTAAAACATATGGATTTCATTATTTACTACTTCAAGTCACATAATTGTGGTCATTTGATGGAATGCACTTTCTGGACTAAAATATAATGGAAGGGAAAGGTATATGATAAGTTTTTTTTTCAGACCTTGGTGGAAACATGTACATACAGGGAGGGGCAAGTGGAAAGGGTGAGCTTGAGACATCAGCTGACTTTTAGGTGTATAAGTGAGAATTTCAATCCCACGCTCCCTTCTCCAAATTTTCAAAATGTCAACGGTGCAAGTTCAGACTGGTTAAAAGAAGATGAACTGTATACGTACTGGTAGTTGAGGCGTTGCATGGCCATGACAGACATGTCCGGCTGGCCACTGCGGTGCAAAGCACCGGAGAGCTTGCTGCCTCTATCCGCCACTTCATCCACCCTCTCGATTATCTTCTCGACGAGTTTCTCATCGTAGAGACCACCGCAAGCATATACTCTTGCTTATAGGTGTTGCCGGCGAGGTGACTGAAGTCAGAGCGGAAGGTCCTGAGGTTGAGGCCTCCGGTGTCATTTGCCATGGTCCAGATGGGGTTCATCTCGTCCCCGTTCACCCCTTCAACCCAGTTGGCCTCCATCTTCACGTTCACCCCAGCGAACTTGGTCTTGTGGATGCGCCCGCCCATGCGGTCCGTCGCCTCCAGGATCACCAGGTCGGTTATCCCGGCGCCTCTTCCCAGCCGAGATCCCTAAAGCATATACATATGACGGTTAGTAATGTATATATATGTTGTATGCACAATAACTTGCATCTGTGCTCTTCGCAAAAAAAATAACTTGCATCTGTGCATTACTTACGTGGCCTCAAAACAGCCCACTCACAATGATTTCACTTTTTTCTTTCTCTTCGATAACATTTTTTACCGTATTACGGTGGTCCAAACCCATTCAGATAACATATATTATAGACCTTTTGCAGGTCAACAACATTTTAGTACCACAGTGTGTATAATTTTCGGGGTTTTTTGTACATGATAATTAATACTTCATTTTTTGCAAAATAAAAAATACTCTAAATGACAGAGTTTATTTAAAAAATTCTCATTTTAGATACTAAAAGTGAAGCCAAAAATCTGAAAAGAATTATATACATTGTAGTACAAACGTGCATCATGTGTTGTTTGAG